TGAATGAGGTATGTCTGGAGTTCCTGCTGTTTTCCCTCCATTTATGGTGTTCATGTGTTTGGTCATTGAATAATTGATTTGAAGTCATATATGTGTTTAGAAGATGTTCAGGATTCTTCGTACATGATTCAAAAACATTGGTATGAATATATTAGATTAGTGATGAAGTAGAAGTCTTGATCTTGAATTAGGGTTTCAAATTACAGCGCGGACTCGTCGAGTCCACCCTTTCCGACTCGTCGAGTCCGTTCATTAATCCAGTCAGCACACGCGATCCTACTCGACGAGTCTACGCCTCAACTCGTCGAGTCCCTCCCTTTTACTCAAAAGAATAAATGATCAAACATAATACCTGGAAATCCGGATGTTACATTTTGTTTTGTATATAGCTTTTAGATATTATGTAGATAGTCATAGAACAGATGCAATTATATATTGATCCGTAGTTAGCATACGGAATTCAACTGAAAGCCTATTAATATCTAGGATTTTATAAATAATTTAAATTTATTAGTGGATGAGAATTGTTTAAAATATGTTTTATGATTATATTATTTATTATGGTTTTGTGAACATTGAAGGAAACGGGGTATTTGGTTTGATCGGTACGTGTGGTCATGAATGATAGGATCATGGCAATCCATGATATCTAACCATTGGGTGTAGAGGCGATGGACCAGAAGGAGATATACCCTGATGCTAACATCATAAGGATACCACAGACCACATTCATGATATTATAACCTCAAACATGGCTGAGGTAACATGAATCATTCATTCCTTTTATTTACTTTTCCGATGTTTTTTTACTGGCTTTTCTTTCTTACTAATTACTCCATATGCAACTACAGGAAGGAGTACGCTAAGCTGAGCCTGAAACATCAAACTGAGAGGCGGAGAAAAAAATCAGTAAAACGTTAGCAAAACTGAAACGATGGTGATCTTATGTGGCACAAAACTTTTGGTATGTATTGCCCCTAACTATAAATCAGATTCAACAAATGAGAAAAGAAAATTCTGCCATGTAGCTTCACATTTATACAGTAAATCATCATCCAACTTTTTTATAATTACAAAATGACTACAATAATTACATCCTAACAGGTACCCCCGCCCTAAAAAGTTTACAGCTTCTATTCTCTTAACATTTGTATTAAATACGTTGCTTTTAAGATTACATTGCAAAAATTAACAGTGTGTCAGACACTCAAAAGCTGAAAGAGTTCACTGCTATAAAAGTAGAACTTAAAGATCGATCCCAGGTAACATATTATTTCCAATTTTTCTTCACTTTCTTAGATCAATTTTCCAACATATCTTCTAACTGTCTAACATCTACGTTAAATTGACTTCTAAATGCAGGAAGACTTCAAATCGGCTCCACTGCTGGAACTTACATCTATTTGAATCCTGTTATTGACAAAACAAAACCTTTGATATCTAGGTAAGAGATACCCGACTTGTGGATGGACGTATACATCATTTTATGAAAATATATTAATAATTAATTTAACAGATTGGTTTGAAGTTATAATATTATACTAATTTATATTTTATTACAAGTGATGAAAACTAAAAAGAAGAAAAAGCAAAACCACCTGAAAAACGGTAATGCTTTGGGACCCACAAAGGTTCGTGTTTTTTGAATCGACACATTTCTTCAAACATCCATCCATTCTCTTTATTTTCAGTAAACTAACTTTTCAAATGGAATTAAAACAGAAAATTGTTGTATTGGCTCTTGATAAAGTGGGAGATGAAACTCCATTGACAAAGAAGAAAGTCAATGAAAGTCGTGTTCTGAGGACAATATCTGATGTGATCATAAAGTGGTGCCTTATGGTGCTATGTGTTGTTGATGTTGAATCTGAAAATAAAGCTTCTTTTGGATTCATTTTATGGGTTCAAAAAGGGGGTATTATCATTGTCTGCTTGTGTTTGCTCAATTCCTGATTTAGAGACACATCTTAAGTTAATTCACCTCCCAGGTAATGACATCACTATTTTTTTCTCCTTTTTTGCTTTCTTTATAACAATAACCCAAATGATGCTTACAATATTGGTCTCATGTATCAAGTTCTTATGATTTAAGCATGAGAATGATAAAATATGAAGTTTGTAGCATTCTATTACTTAATAGCTTTATCATTCTTTTTCATATTTTTCTCTTCAGGTTGTTATACGTAATGAGATGTGATTGCATGGTGCAGTGGACAACAGCTATAGTAAGTCTAAATTATGAAAATAATCTAGATAAAAGTTTTGGGGGTGAAGTAGTGGCCAGATGGTTAATAGTTCTTATTAGAAAAAGAAAGAAAATTGTGCTGCATCATGGTTTTAATAAAAAAAATATTTCTATCAATGCAGTTATTACAAACTGGAAAAAGATTCCTCATTGTTCAAACATAAGCTCAAACACATTAGAGGAGGAAGGGGCCATACATTCCAAGAATTTCCATGGCATCCACATGTTCTATCTCTTGGACTTTATCACACCTGATGATCTAGCCCGCTTTTGGAAGACATACAATCAATGTAAGTTTTATCTACTTTTTTAGGAACCCAGAGTATTGGTTAGTGGTTCCAAAAAAAACTACTCTGATGAATAATCTAATGCTCTATTTTTAGAGTTATTGACTTCTCACCGCATCATCATTTTTACTTTCAATAAATCTAACATGCGATTTAAGATATTATGTAGGTTGACAAAAAATAACCAATTTCCAGTTCTGCCATGATTGATATGTGGTTATATCATCTTTTTTATTACCTGATGTTGTAAAAGAGTTAAATATTGAGATAATTGTATACTTTATATAACGAAAATTTTGAATGCACATATAGAAAGTGGTAATCTGATGTCAAATGACGTCTTTTATAGCATGTCAAATTAGTTAATTTGAAATTTTTTGATAAGAAAACATAAAGTTCAAGTAGTTAAACAACAAAATTGTCCGACATATAACGTCTTTTTTGTTGTATGTTTTTTATTAAATAACAAAATTTCAATTATACCATCAGATCTGTACTTTTTTCATTATATAAAAATGAAAGATACAGGTTCCAAATTATGCTATCACCTATCTTGGGAATGGAGGATGTTGTCAAAACGGGTAGAGCTGAGCCACATAACTAGGTTTGTAAAATTTTAAATTGCATATTAGATAAAAAATACAATATTAACAACAAATTTCGATGTAATATCAATGTATAAATACTCGAATCCGTTTTCAATGATTTTTCAGTAAAGTTGTTAACTTTTCTGATTTTTTTTTCGAGTTCGAAGAAGATGATACCTTCCGATTCTTCCTTATTTTTTTTGAAGGGTATGGTAGCAGTAGAAAGGTTTAAGAGGGTTAAGGCGGTGGTAAATGAATCTGATGCTAGCTTCTACCTACAGGCCTGGTATGTTCTCTATTTACATACAATATGATGGATTTTACACTTTTTTGTTATGGGTGAAACAAATCCCACTACATCATTTTGGAATGTATGGTTAGAATTGAATCTGTAATACTGCCCTTTTATTTCTTTTCATTTTTGTAGATTTTGCCCTGTCACTTGATACTACTATCAACCTGCCCTTTTGATCAGTTAAAGCAGGCACATGCAACATCTTAATAGGATTGTTGAATTCAAATTCAATGGAATTGCAGGAACTTGCTTTTGCTTCATCGTTATTTGTATTAGATAGGTTTGAGTGTTGTTTATTCAAGTATAAGCAATCTGTTATTTCTGCATTTAATTTTAGTTAAATACAATAAATAGCAACCTACTTTCATAACTATGTCTATTGTTTCATCCTCCTGTTATAATATAATACTTCAACATTGATTCCAATCCACATGCACCATTCCAACCCACACAACACCATTTCCGACAGCATCTAGTTTTTCTTAAAAATGTGTAGGAACTACTTAAAGAAGTTTTTTTTGGAGTATTTAGGGTGCGTTTGGTTGTGGAAAATTTTCCAGTTTTCTAGAAATTTTTCCAAGAAAAACGGAAAATTTTGAAAACGCGTTTGGTTCATTCAGTTTTCAAAAAATTTCAAGAAAATGAAAATTTCCAGTTTTCCAAATTGTATGTAAATTAGAAAAGTGATTTTTACAGTTTTTCAAATTTCTAAGATGGAAAAATGAAAACTCCCCCGGTTTCAACCAAACGTGTTTTCTAAAATTTTCATTGAAATTTGAAAGCGAAAACTCAACTCTATTTTCTGAAAACATTTTCATAGAAAATGAAAACAGTTTTCCACAACCAAACGCACCCTTAATTTCCGTCGGAAAAGTGTAGGAACTTCCAAAGGAAATTAAACTAAAAGTGATAACTGCGTTTCTATAGTTTCATTGGAAGACCCTCGGAAATTTGTAGGCAATTACGATACAAACGTTTTCCTCAAAAAAAATTGTAGGAAACGCTTCTAATAGTGACACGTACTTTATGGATTTTATTCCCCTTAGAACGACTTTGTCTTTGTCTTTAGGTATGGTTGATTCCAAACATAGATGGGAAGAAACTAACTCGATTATAACTTAATCTGAAAAAATCCCTTAAAAAGACCACAAGATTGATGCTTTGATGTCCCTTTCGAGATTTAAAGTATAAGTTAAATAAATATAGAATATGAATTTAAAAAATAATAATAATATATAGGGTATATATATGCCATGTGGGCATTAACGAGTCTAGATGCGTGTTAACGTATCCCTCTAGGAATAGGTTAAAGATAACGTAACCGTTATCTTTAGGACGACCTAGTCAATGGTCACAACCCGTCCTAGCGTCAGACCCGGAAAATCGTCCTCGCGCTAGTACCCTGATGCTTGGCCCCCTCGCGCCCAGGTCCAATTCATGACGACAATTTCCAGTCTATAATAAGCTAAAACACAGGTGGTTCTTTCCTAGAGCGACAAATGCAACGCTCAGGGCGATGTCCTCTGTTAACTCTGCAACAATAGCAGATAACTACTAGTGGTGCACGATCCTCCAATGGGACTCCTCCACGTCCTGTTTGACCAGACGAGACAAAGGATAATGGTAGGATCATGTGCAGAGAACAACATGTATAAAAAGAACCCTTCTTCACCAGATGAAGAGATTGCTTTCCTACTCTCCAAAACCCTAATCACCATATTCTCATACAAATACTAACTAGACCGTTAGAGTTTCACCGGATGTTGACTGACGTTATCTCTTCATCGATGTGATTACAGGACTCTATCAAGAAAAAATAATCAAGTGACGGTGTTATGTCCCCAAACATATATCACAACATTTGGCACCATCCGGGCGTGTAGTCAAAGCTACACAACCTTGATACGACTCTAGAGGTCGACGGTGACGAGGAAAGGACCTATGGCATCCGACGGAGGAGAAACAAGTCCACTTAAATCCATGCCATTGTTCGATGGCATGCAAGCATCTGCATTAGAGGAACAAGCATCCACCCAAACGCCAACAACACAAGCATCAGGCTCTACGTCGGAAATTACAACGGAAACAATAGCTGCCCTATGGCGACCGCCACCCGTCACAACAGAGCATCTGGTTACAACCACGACTGTAGCACCATAGATAACGGTGACCCAGCAGTTACGACCACCGAATCAGCAGTTGCAACCGGTTTCTCAACCACAATCATTGCTGCAGCAGGCGGAGATGTAAACTTGGTCCACAGGAACCATACTGTCTTCTGTGCAACATCCAATGTCGAACCATCAAATTCTCCCCCATAGCAGGCATGTCACACATTCCTCTATTCTCACAACAACCACCGATGTTCAACCCTCACTTCCAGCAATTGTAGGGATCTATTCCCCAAGTGCCACCAGTGCTAGGATCCAACTCTCGCACGATGTCGACGCAGGAGTCTAACCCTCACTCATCGTCGGCGCATCAACTTAATCCCTATGCTCAACAGTCGCAGGGGCCGCACCTGTACATGCTCCAACAATCGGGATCGAGCTTACAGATGCAACAAGGCATACAAACGAGCTCACAACAGCAACCATACATCTCGTAAGCAGCGATGTATAATCTTGCGTACGACAACTCGTATTACGCTCAACAATTCATGATGTGTAGTGGGTTTCGATATCCATACGTGAAAGCCCGGTGAGGAGTACCAACTCTGCTTTTTGCCAGGAACTCTTGTAGTATGAGATTCCACACTCGGCGATGATACCAAAAATTCCAAAGTACAACGGTACCACCGATCCATGTGCACATCGACACTTATGAGTGGACAATGACGTCGTTGAGGATGGATTAACGGTTCACTTGCACGTATTTCCCCGTGTTACGCTATCATGAAATGTGGAAAAATGGTTCAAGGCACTATGACCTGGCAGCATCTCGAGTTTTGAGAAGTTGCGATACCTTTTCCTTAATAATTTCATGCAAAATAGGAAGGGTAAGGGAGATGTAAACTCAATAATGGCATGCAAGAAAAAGGAGGGAGAGTTGATAAGAGCGTATTGTGACAGATTCACTCTGGTAACGCTAACCGCCCTGGGTCATGAGGATTACTTGTCATAGGCGCCTTCACCTAAGGTTTACTTCCTAGTCCTCTACCAAAGAAGATGCAGGGGACGATACCTCAGTCGAGGGATGATCTTAAGTACAAAGTGGAGAAATATCTTTGACAAATTGAAGGTCAAGAGAGAAAAGAAGCTAACGTAAAGGTTGTTGCCAATGCGTACATAAAACAGGAAGAAGAAGTCTCTCGCCCCAACACTGGCCATCTAGAGCGCTAGGACGGGGGCCATGACAAACACAACTAGCACTCACGATATTCTTCCCAGGATATCATCCATTTGGCAAAGACAAACACCAGAACCACCGAATCGATGTCCACGCCATCGAGAAAACCCCTTCGAAGGCGGAAAAGGAAAAGGGAAACTATTGTGAGTTTCACAAAAGCAAAACTCATGATACTGGCGAGTGTACGGTGCTGAAGAAAGAAATTGAAGAAAAACAGGTAAAGGGCGACCTCTCTGGTATCGCAAATGACCTGAGATCCAAGTTCGATGCCGATCAAAAGAACATACGAGCTCAAAAAGATGCGGGCAAGTGTCAAGACAAAAAGAGTGGAATCTTCACTATCACCAGACCCCGCAAAAGGGGCGAGCCCTACAAAGAAAATGACGACACTGAGGTATTATCTAGCAACATACTCAATATCAGATTTTCGATAGAAGACCCAAGGCCACCAAAATGGGATCGCAGGTATCCACTCTTGATAACTTCCTACATACGCCAAACGCAAGTTCATCGTGTCTACATCGACAATGGTAGCAGTATTGACATATTGTATGAACATTGCCCACCTCTTGGAAGGAGGGACTAAAGACTTCGAAATGTAGACCGTTAGTAGGATTTACATGGCATAGCATATGGCCACTGGGCACCATACATCTACCGTTCACCTTGGTCTTTCACGATGGGAAGGATAAGATCACGCGAACGATCGAATTCTTAGTGATGCGTCTCCCAGCAGAG